TGGTTTCCAAATGAGATGCAAAAGTTGCTCTCATCAGAAAAGAGGAATTTAGAGCACTGAGCAACAGACCAGGTCTGTTTTTCTTTAGCCCAGGTAAGACGCTTCTGATGTTGTTTGTTGTTCAGGAGCGGCTTGACAAGAGGAATACAACATTTGAAGCCCATGTCCAGGATCCGTCTGTGTGTGGTGGCTCTTGATGCACTGACTCTAGCCTCAGCCCACTCCTTGTGAAAGTCCCCAACACTTTTGAATGGCCTTTTCCTGACAAATCTCTCCAGGCTGCGGTCATCCCTGCTGCTTGAGCACCTTTTTCTTCCACACTTTTCCCTTCCACATAAGATTTCTATTAATGTGCTTTGATACAGCACTTTGGGAACATCCAACTTATTTTGCAACTACCTTTTGAGGCTTTCCCTCCTTATGGAGGGTGTCAATGATGGTTTTCTGCACAACTGTCAGGTCAACAGTCTTTCCCATGATTGTGATTCCTACTGAACCAGACTGAGAGACCATTTAAAGGCTCAGGAACCCTTTGCAGGTGTTATGGCTTAATTAGCTGATTAGAGTGGGACACTTTGAGCCGAGAATATTGCACCTTTTCATAATATTCTAATTATCTGAGATTGTGGATTTGGAGTTTTCATGAGCTGTAAGCCATAATCATCACAATTATGACAAATCACAGCTTGAACTATCTTGCTTTGCATGTAATGAGTCTATCTCATATATTAGTTTCACCTTTTAAGTTGCATTACTGAAATAAATGAACTTTTGCACGATATTCCAATTTTTTCAGTTTCACCTGTACTGTGAACGCAGGTCAATAAAAACTACTGATTGTATCCAGGATGGTATTTCACAGATTCCATAAATTTTCTGAATAATTCCATTTGTTTTGATTAGGTGAGGAAGCTGAGGTTCATTGTGATGGCTGGTTAGGCACAAGCCCATCTGAAGCAAATCCTTTGGAGACTGGAGGAGAGTGGATCAAGGGATGTGATAATAAAAGGCCGATGCTAGTAGTCTTTCTGGTGAGTTGCTAGAATGAAAAGGTGGTGGCTGCATAAAGGTGTGAACATTGTGCTTGAAGATAGAAGATTGTCGCTTGCATTTGGAACACTTTAAATCGATGCACTTTAATTTTGGAGCAGGGGACCTTATATTAATTGATGGATTTTTTAATGCACAAGAGTTTTTCTTGCACATAGAGAAGAATTGTTATTTATTTACATGATGATTTAAGAATTCTGAATGCACATGATTTTTATTAAGTAGTTCAAGCACAATATGTTGACACATTTTTTATCACACACATTTACTGAGCACATTGCTTTTTATTGTATTAAGAAAATTCACGTATTTGTAGGTTAGTACACATACAGTGGCATTGTCACAGTTTTATTTTCTCATCAGAAGCCAGGCTGGTAGTTATGGCTTCTATATAAACTCCCACCTTTCCCAGGGATTTTACTCCACCCTGGAACCAATTTCTGTGTATGTCAGACTGGGGAGTTCTGGCAACATTTTATTTTCTTATTCTGCTTTTGCTCATGTACAGTGTTTATAGTCCATGTAAATAAAGAGCATGTACATTTCACTGAGAAATGTTGTTTTATGTGCATGTTTAAAGTGTTGTGAACAGTCATACACACCCCACTGCTAAGCTAATCCCCTACAATATCTTGATGATTTTTTTATATCTGTTGTGACAGCACACACTCTTTTTTGCAATAGCATTAGTATTTCATCTGCATTTAATGTATATGTGCTCTTTTTTTGTGGCCCACACCACTCAATAAAATATTGAATATCCACTTGAAGACCAAGCCTTTTCTGGCACTTTTTGTTTACATGTAACAAATAGTATTGTTTGCTAGAAAATTTCTTAGAACCCCAAACATTATATATATTTTTTAAAGCAGAGGACCTTTTTTCAAATTGAATGCAAAAAAAACACAAAAACATAACCCAATTTTTGGTTAAAAATAAAGATGATGTTATACAAAGTAAATAGATACCAAACATGTCATGCTTTAAAATTGCACATGCCCGTTACACCTGTGTTCGCCTTTGCATGGAGGGGATGGGGGCACGTAACATTTTTTTTTACGCTGTTACTGTAATTTTTTTTAATCACTTTTATTACTGTCCCAAGGAATGTAAACATCCCTTGTGACAGCAGTAGGCATGTGACAGGTAATAGGCATGTGACAGGTACTCTTTATAGAGAGATCTGGGGTCTATAAGACCCCAAATCTCCCTCTGCCCTTAAAAGCATTTGATCACACCAAGAACGGTGTGATCCAATGCTTTTCATTTAAAAAACTGAAGTGATGTAAACCAGAAGTGATGTAAGGTCATCGCTTCCACATTACTATATCATAGAGCTGAACAAAGACAATCCATTCTTTGTTCGGCCCTATGAACAGCCAGCGAAAGCACCAGCTGGTCGATCAGGGCTTTTGGTGGGATGGGAGATCCAAGTAAAGACACAGAAGGCTGCAGGAGGGGGGATGTTCCCCTTATGCTGCTTGTAATAGCAATCCAGCAGTTAGACGCTAACCGTTGGCTCTAAAACAACGGTATCGGGATGATGCCTGCAGCTGCAGGCATTTTCCCAATATAACTACTCGCTGGGGCTCAAGTGGATTTATTTATAGTTTTATTCAATTTATGTTGGTGAAAGGTTTTGAATACTTTTTGAATAATTTGTACAAAAAACTTAATTTGTGATATGTACAAAGATCTGTATACTTAATGATATACCTCCTGCTTTACACTTTAGGAAAACCTGTTTAAGTGGATTCTTCGATCTCTGACTCTCTACACCAAAAACTTAAAAAAGCAGTTTGCGTTTTCACATTTATTGTATTTATATTTTTCATTCATATCTACTCAAAATATGGCAGAAGCACATATCATGATGTGAAACTGCTTTGTATATTTTTCAGTGATATTCATTTCCTCGTTTCAACAACAAAAATCCACAGAGGTGGAAGTTTCAACTTAATTTACTACAAGTAAGTCGGATTATTCAACAGTGGTTTATTTCTAAAGTATAGCATAAAATTTACGCTAACGTAAAAGTTATTACTAGAAAAACTACAGAAATAGTTAATATTTATTTGTCAAAACATCTGTGTTATTGATATACATTATAACTGCAGAGGATTATTATGCTTCCAATAGAAAAAGGTCACAACTTGGCTTGTGCTTTATTCAGTCTGAATTTATAATTGTTCAGTGTTTTTATGAAGTATAAAATATATATAGTGCTGCTAAACTCACCCATTGTGTCAGGTCTTCACAAAAGCTGCTGATTATGTGATTGTTATGCTGCCAGCTGACTAAAAGGCAACACACAGGCAATCCTGACTAGCAGCGGACTGACCATTGAGGAACTCGGGCACTGCCCGAGGGCCCGAGGTCAGTAGGGGGCCCCATGAGATGTCCCTGGTACCTTTCATAGGCTTTTTTGGGTGTGGTTTGAGTGTGGGTGAGGACACAAGGGCCCCATGATCCCCAATACCCGGGGGGCCCCATTCGTTGTCAGTCCACCCCTGTAGCAGGCAAACCAAATGTGGTACCTAATCATAGAACAGGAGCATTCTCTAAAAGAGTAAAAAATGCAGCCCAAATTGGATGCAAAAAAGTAATTAAAGCAGATGAACAGAACTATAGATAACATGCATGCAGGCTGAAATGTTTGACCTCAATTTAAACACTGCTAATGAAAGCATGCTGCAGCCCTGAAAAAGTCAGCGCTTATCAGAAGTAAGTATGATGTTCTAGCAAGTCTAGACTTTGCTATGCTCTTCAGGAGATGAGCTGTCCTTCATCTATAATACAGTTCAGCCATCATCTAATTGTGACTTAGCTGTTAAGCCTGCCTTACAATGATCAATATTTGATATACCGAGCAACGTCTGTACAACCAGGTTGTCAGGATTTTCTAATTGATCAGTGCCGCTGGCTAGAGATCAGTGTATTTGGATGGAGGGGAAGTCTCACCGCTGTCAGAATGCAATGACTCAGCGGGAAGGATTCCTCCATCCGCACACTGAATTTGGGTAATTTTTTTTTATTCAAAACGTACATATGTATGGGCTGCCTTAATTGCATAACAAGGTATTGAAATCCTGCTAAATAACAAATATTGGCCAAACACTGATAGATTTTTTTTTGTTTAGCCTAAAGGCTGAGTAAACATAATTTAACAGATGTCTGACCCTCAACTTTGGGTGCTTTTAGCAGATTCAGAATTAATAATTAAAGCAGACCTAATATAAATAAAATATTTAGGTATTTTGCTTGCAATAAAAATATATAAATTTCCACAAATGTGTGTTATGGCCCTGAAATACTTTTCTGTATGCTGCATTAAGCAGTGGTGACATACTAAGCTACACTCTTAATTTTAAATGCAAACACCTCTCTCTCTCTCCCCCCTTATCTCCATTACACAGAGGGGAGTTGTTTTGTAGTTCACATAAGGTAGCTAAGAAGCCTGGGAACAGTGAGTTCAGAACAGAACAGAAATTACAAGAACCCTGGATTTTTATCAAGATCAAAGGGTACTGTATTTTTTTGTACTTGTGGAAAATGTACCTGAAAAGCAAAACTAATGCAGCCCCCATATCTAAGGAATGGTAGGCTAAAAAGTGTTAAATTTTTGTTCCTCCCCCTTCCTTCGCCCAGGGTGCACTGTCTTCCATCAACTGCACAGTCCTGACTCCCCATGAAGCTTGCAGCATGTTCTACTTCTGCGAGTGAGGTTATCCCATGCATGCACTCACAGCATTATAAAGGATATGCACTTTGGTGAAGGCACATACTTCCCAGTGCAATACGAATGCTGGAAAAGTGGCAACATCTCCCTTGAAATTCAGACCTTCTCAGTGACATCTTATGGAAATGAGGGAGCAGAAAGAAATTGTAAATAACTTGTTCAAGTTTTATTTTATGGCTTTATACTAACATTTTTTTTTGTTTGGTTTTAAGTGGATATTATTCGATCCAAATTTTCTGGCCTAACACAGAGAATAAGCACGACAATTTCTAAACAAATTGCATGCGACCTGTATGCAACAGAAATTTTCACCTTAGAAGAGATGAATTATGTCCTTTCTGACCCAGTGGCTGAACAAGTTGCAAGAAGATTGATTACATCTGTTCTTAGTAAAGGAGAAACGTCTTGTACATATTTTCTACAGTCCCTTGAAAGTAAAGATAGATTTTTATTTCATAGTCTCATGGGAAAAAGTGAGTATAGCTTTTCTAGTGACACCGTTTGAACCTGGAATAATACTTTTATGCATTTTTTGTATCTTTTTCCATGTAGAATAATGGCAAATGTCTAATGCAAAATAAAATGCAAGTCTGCTACCTTGCATACTGTATAAACTCCATTATTTAAGTTTGTGATTTTATATTATTTTATTTTTAAATATTAAGTGCTAGGAAATTTATGTTTTTGGTTATCTTAACCATTTACCAACAAGCACACACGTAAGCTGACTTACAGAAGCTGGAGGACCATAGTTTGGAGACCCCTGATCTAGGCTATTCATACACTGGCATAGTCTTCCAGCAGATCCAGACATTGGCCAGACAGGTTAACTTTGGTTTGACATAAATTGGTGAACAGTCAGCTTGCATGCATGATCCAACCATCTGTTGATGTCTTTTGGACCTGTTTCTCCCCTAACAGAAGTGCACAAGTTACCTGGGTGCGCCTGTTTAGGGTGGTGGATGTTTAGGGGGAGAGCCATGCACATATACTACAGGTCCAGAGGAAAACAATAGCAATTGGGTAATGGTTTCTAACCTACCCAAATGCTTGTTTAGAATTGCTGTGCCTTCGCCATAAATAAATAGTGTCCAACCTGGGGCCCAACACAAAAATGTAAACTTACTTAAAAAATTTGTTTTGTCATTTCTTTGTAAAAATGTGTTTACTCTTAGTGAACACATGCAGCCAAAGAAAATTTGACAGTGTTTCTTTACTGGACTTTTATATTTTTTATCTTCCCTAAGAAAAATACCCCACTCTTCATAATCACGCCTTATTCATGTCATCGGTTTTCAGTAGCACCTGTATTTGTGAGCAACTATTTTCAAGGATGAAGCACACAAAGGGCCAAATTAGAACAATATCTGATGAGCATGTTGAGAATTCATTGAGAATTGCTACTAGTTCCATCGAACCATATATTGATACGTCAGTGTTAAATATCGTGACACTTATATTATTTAAGTGTCTGTCTTTAGGCGTTTGAGGTAAAGTGTTCTAGTGCCAGGCTGATTTAAAACAGTGTGACTTTTATTTAATTCACACTTGGCATGAACATAAAATGAATACAAAAGATAAAATAAAATACAGAGTAAAATATATAACAAAAGTTGTAGATTATGGAAAAAGAAATAAGCTTTGGAGAAATGTCTAATCTCTTGCCTGTTCTATGACAAGTGTTTCAGTCTTGGCAAGGAAGACAACAGGTGTATCAAGGCTTTGCAGGCCTTAAGAAAACAAAAATGTCAGCTGTATAATGTATTGATGTATGAGTGTGAGTGAGTGTATGTGTCTCTCTATCTCTAAGGCACATCTTATATATATTTTACCAGACCAACCCACTAAACAGTTATTTCCTAATTCAGTGTGAGCTAAATGAGTAAAACCCTTTTTTGTACTTCTTCTAAACTTATACTCTTAGTGTCCATATATGTAAACCTTCTAAACTTATACTCTTAGTGTCCATATATGTAAACCTTCTAAACTTATACTCTTAGTGTGACGTTATCTTCAAACCTCTTGGACGACAGAAATACATGATACTGTTATATGATATACAATGGCTTCACATATCTTTAGAAAGGGACAATTGATCACATAAATGCATATTACCAACAATAATTAATACTAAACTTATCACACACTATTCCTAACTAATAAATGAATTATATGAAATAATTATCCAACTAACTATATTATAGATTAGACATGATTTTCTTTATAAAAGACATATACTTTCTTTGTTCTACTTCATATCAATATCTTTTTACATTCCAATTGCTATTCTTAAAACTAAGCTTATGACCTGCTGACCTCTTAGACATGAATATACCATGGTTCATCTTTAACACCTGTTTTCAAAGCCATCATACACACGCAAAGTTAAAAATGTACTAGCTCAATGACTTTGCTGTCATTTTAGAGGACACTGATATGAAAAGATACAGACGTCTGTTTTATGGTGAATTAATTTCTTACAGTCAGTTTATCAAAAACGGCGTCAAATATCGCACTAGTTTTGTGTTGCCTTTTTTTTACATTTATAAAAATATAAAAATTAAGTTTTATTACTCAGATAGGCACATTATCTTTATCAGTGATCGTTAATGCGTGATCTGCCCATCTTTTTCTGCTCATCAGCTATCCTAATTGTTACCATATTTTATGTGTGGCCCAAGACAATTCCTCTTCTTGCAATGTGGCCCAGGAAAGTAAGAAGGTTGGACACCCCTGCCACTGGATTGTTGCCTGACCTGACTATAAAAGTAATTATGCATAGCCACCCAGGGACAGAAAGTGTGCTATTCACAAGATTACATATAAAGAAAAAGCCTGAGAAAGGAAAAACTAATGCAGTCACCACATCTAAGGATTGGTATGCTGCAAAACATAACATTTTTGTTTGTGATTTTAAATACAATTTAATTGCACATTCTTAATAATTTTATTTTCTAAATTGTTTATGCACAATGTCCCAAGCAAAAACAAAAACAAATTTTGTGACATGTTTTTTGGTGTATGGTTTGATTATCAAATAACAAGTACATGCAGTCATGATATAGCTACTTTTGTTGTCAATATTGAACTGTGGCACCATGCGTCAAGATTTTTAAAATGGTGCAGATACTTGTTTCTTGTGCATAGGGCATTGAAATGAATGGACAGCCCTAAATCTGACACACAGGAATGTGCAAAAAAAATTGTGTACGCTCAGTCACTCATCCGTAATGTGAGTGGAGCCTAAGGTGCAGTTCCACTGTAAGAAACAGTGAGCAGGCAGGCTTTTATTGCTGTCTCTTCTGTAATAAACTGCCCCAACCTGTTTTCTCCAGTGCTGTAAACTGAGCTGCCGGTGCATGTTTTTGTTCTGCTTTAAAGCTTGTTTACTGCTTGTTAAAATGGAACTTCAATCAAAAGGACACAAAAGCTCTTCCTCCGCCTCCCCCCCTCCTTCTCTGACATGTTTGGCACTTTTTTTTATGGGAGGGGAGCAGGTAACTAGTTTTGACAGGTACCTGCCTCTACTTATGCTTAGATCGCCTAGGAAGTTCTTCTCCCCCCTCCCTGCCCGCAGTTTTCTGGGACATGTCACAGGTCCCAGAAGACTGCGGGAAAATTCACAAAGCAAAGTGCTGCTTGTGCGTGCACAGTGGGTAACCAGCTGAGAAGCCACAAGCAGCCCAGCCAGCTGCCCACAATTAAGATGCTGCCACCAGGGACCAAAAGACTGGTGAAGAATTGGTCTGGGTGAGAACAGCACTGGATCTTTGGACAGGTGAGTTATATAGTCATTATAAGTCAGCAGCTTCAGTTTTTGTAGCTGCTGACTTTTAATTTTGACACAACAGACTGAAGATCCTCGTTAGAAATATGTAAATATTTTAATGTCCATAGCTTGACCACAGTTCTCTACATTAGCATTCACATACACCTATGGCAAATTTTAAAATTGTCAAAATATGGCAGTAGGAGTGAACAGCAGGGTGAAGGAGCACATTAGATTAAACTTTTGAGTAGAGAAAAGCAACTATATCATGGCATACATTATACGCTGCAAAGACATAAAACTTTATTGTATATTCTTATCAGTTTTTTTCTGTGTGTAATGAGTCAGAGGATGTTGGGCTAACATGCTTAAACAGACAACATAAAAGGATTACTTAGCAAGTTTAAGATAACACCTAAAAGATGCTTGTCTTATTAAATAAGGAGACTTCTGGGAGGAGCAATTAGCCAATCACAGAAACAGACAATTAGATTTCCTGGGCATTCTGTGTACAAGTAGTGTCCCTAGAATTGTACTAAATCAACAGTTGAATTTGAACAGTTATAAAAATCATGTTGTATATTAAAATTATCTGAAGAGGTACCTTACTAATAATATTACAACATGGCTTTTATAGTCATATATATTATTTCAATATTTAAAAGCAGTTCTCCTTTAATGTCTTGCTAAAGTTTTAACTGAAATACTCTAGTATCTGTACCAGTACATAAATACATCTGCATTAATGTCATTATCTATTAATTTCTGTCTAATTTTTTTAGATATTTTTGGAAAAGTTACAGATGAGGATTTGGAAGATCTGGAACGTCTGTTAAAACGCTTGTATAACAGCAAATTTTTTCAGAATATCTTCCCACTTGGTAAAGAAATTGACATCATATTTGATTTGGAAACAACTTTCACTGATCCTTTATTGTGGAAGAAGGATACATTCAATCAGAGAAAAGAACAATATGCATTGGAAGATTTACTAAACAGACTTGAAAGTCCATGCATTATCGAAGGAGAAGCTGGCAAAGGGAAGACCACTATACTAAAGAGGATTGCTTATCTGTGGGCATCTGGAAAGGTTGAATCTCTTAAACAGTACAGGCTTGTGTTCTTTATCACTTTGCGTAGTATGAGCGAAAACCTTTTCGAGACAATGTGTGACCAGCTTTTTCCTGTTACCTCTAACTGGAACAAACAAGAGTTCATGCATAAAATCTGGAACCTTGGGCCAAATGTTTTATTTTTACTGGATGGCTATGATGAATTCAGCTGTGAGAGTTGTGCAGAAGTAGATGACCTTATAAAACATAACTATAAATTTGGCAGCACCGTCATTGTCACCACAAGAACAGAATCTCTCAAAGAAGTTCGACACTGTGCTTCTCTGATTGTGGAAACCAGTGATATTACCATTGAAAGTGCAAAAAAACTGATTTCAAATGTCTTACAAGAAGAAGAAGCCACAGCCCTATTGCAGCAGTTGGATGAAACTGATTTTATGAAAAATCTCATGAAGACACCACTTTTTGTAGTCATAGCCTGTGCTCTTCGAATGGGGGAGTATGAATTTCACATGAACACTCAAACAACTCTGTTCTGTACACTATACAACTTGATGATTGAAAGGAGTCATTACAAAATTAGAGATGTAGAGATAAGCATCAAAGAACAAAATATTACCAGCTGTGGAGACCTGGCTCTTGATGGACTGTTTGCCCACAAATTTGAATTTCGAAAAGAGAATTTGAAAAACATAACAGAGGATATCCTGCTTAAAATCGGGCTTTTAAATATGTATGGGGCTCAAAAACCAAAGCCTATATACAGATTTTTTCATACATCATTCCAAGAATACACTGCTGGAAGGAGACTTGCTCAACTTTTATCATCAAAAGACACGTCCAGTACTGAAAAAGGAGAATCCTATCTAAACAAAATACAGACAGTAAATGATATTACTAATAGGTACAAAAATCTGCTCTTTTACACATGTGGATCATCAAGAACTGCTGCTCAGAAACTTATTGTTCACATTAGAAATGTGTGCAAAGATGTCATAAGTGATTCAGACACTGACTTTGTGGACTTTGGAATTAACCTTTTTTATGAAAGTGCCACCAAAAAGGAACTGAGTAAAGAATTTGAACTCCTTTTTTTTCGAAGAACATTACACATTAACACACATAATATTGCCTCCCATCATGTTGATTTTTTTGAATACTTACCAAGTTGTTTAAGTGCCCTTCATCTGGTTAAGTTAGATTTATTTGGTTCACATAGTAATGCATCAAGTAAAGATAAAATGAACATCTCTAATGAAGCAGGACTAATGGAGAATAAACCAAACACATACATTTCTGAAAAGGTTGTCAAGTTGTTTTTTGATTGGACCCAAACTCTGCAGACTCTGGAGGTCACACTGAAAAACTTTGATCAGCTTGAGAAGCATGACATAAAATGCCTTGGAAAGATATGCTGCTGTGCTGAGCGTCTCAGGCTCAATATTAGCTGCAGCACAGGAATCACTGGAAACCTTGCAAAAATTGTTGAATACTGCAAAAGAATGCAGGATCTGATTATAGACAACACCCCCCTGAGTACTGATGATGAGATGCGAATTGTGGAGATGACAAATGTGAAAATATTAAGTATTTCTAATATAGATCGACAACAAGAGGATGGTAAACAAAAAATCACAATTACATTTAAATTAAAACATTGAAACTGAAATACTAAGAGAAAAATGGTTGCATTGTCTATAGTAAAAACATTTAGTTGACAAGGGCAACAAGAAAATTTCTCTATCATTCATTGAGGAGCACAGTGCTGTAGATTCTATACCATGGGTTATATTGCCACCAACACTAAGTAAAGGGGACAGCCCCATACAGATGATATCTTCACTCTTGCTAAACCGGCTCAATTTAACTTAGTATCCTAAAGTGGTAGGGCATTATTCTCCAGATCTTCTGGATCCAGACTTTTAAATGGACTGTTTTTCTTCAACCATACAGGTAGATTCAGACTGGATATTTGTAATTCTGGAAGTTTCTCTATCAATCTAATCAGCACAGGTTTTCCTAATATCCTGACATATTTAAAGTCAGTGCATTAGTCATTAATCCAGTGGTGTTTAGCTTTCTTGTTAGGACTGACACCCCTGTCAGGTAACACGGACTCGCCCGGGGTCTGAAGTCTAAAGCTGGCCATGCATTATTTAGATTTTTCGAACAAACATTAGCATGAAAATTTTCTTCAAAATATTAGATGAGTTGGTTTGCTTTTAACTTTATTTACATTTGGAGAGAATAGATTTTCCCAAGCAAAAAAACTACATTCACTGTAAAGATGGGTACAAACAGATCCAAATTCAGTCAGTTCAGCAGGGACTGGCCAAATCTCAATCTGTGTGTGTGGCCTTAACTGTTAGACAGAAGCCAATTGTTAGATTGATCTCTGTCGAATGGCCATGCTAGAAAACTTTCATCGATCAGCAGCTGCAGCCGGTGATCAATGTACTTTGACAACAGAGAGTCCCACTGTCAGAATACAATGTTGCAGCAGGGAGGATTCCTTCATCTCCATTGCTCCATTACCTCCATTGCTTGTGTGGATCCTTTTTTATTCACTCAACAAAAAACTTAAGGTGTATACCCTGCTTTAGAAATTTTTTTCATGTCCAAATTTTCATGTCACTGAGGTTGAAAATGAACATTGATTTGATACCACTAATAATCAGAAAATCAATAAAAGTTCTTAAAACAAATTTTTTTTAACAAATTTCTACTAGTGTATGGTAATTTTAAGAGACAGCTTGATCTTCACCAGAGCACTCTGCAAGGGCGAGGTCAAGGAAATGTGAGTATCAGGAGCAGACAGAATCACATTAGGGGCAGGAAACACAAGCAGGGTCATGCAGCCTGGGTCAATAATCTTAGTGCACAAGGTTGATGGGAAGAAGAAACAGCATCAGCTACTAGAAGGAAGGGAAAAGTGTGTAAATGCCCACTGAAGCCTGTGAGCACACCCAGCAATAGGGACGCACACCAATGCACTTATCTCCAAACTTAGTTTTTGCCTCTGCTACCTATAAATTTAAGTTTAACAGTGCTAAGTGCAAGTCCTCTCCAAAACTATGAAACATGGAAATGCAATTATTTTAGTAAATATAAACTGCTACATACCTTTTCTCAGAACACTGGTTACAGCTTTTAGGAGGAGTTTTCATTCTCCTGTAGGAGGATGCAGAACCCCTGACCTCTGTCTGGAGAGTGCTGATTGGCCCTGTGCTGATCACATGCAGTTTCCCAAGAAAAAAAGACTCTCTAACAATACACACCAAACTGACCATGTGCCCCTGAGCCTCTGTTCTATCAGGAGATATTTAGGAGACACTGGAAGAAGGAGAGGATCAGAGAAGAGAGGATCAAACATACTTTTTACACAATGTGGAGGATTAACCCCTTAGGTTCCACAGTGAGTATAGCAAGCATGCTTTACTTCATATACAGACAGATTTTTACTGTTGTGGGTTTAGTAACACTTTAAGGGCTTATGAAAATGATCAGATATGTCTGTGGCAGGGGCTTCTCATAGCACCCCTTAGCACCCCCATCAGCAGCCACCCTGGGCACCTCTTGGAAAACGTTTACATTTTGGAGTCCGGACCAGGTCTCCTGCATGTCATAATGACTGCAGGCAGACCTGGCTCCTGAAGTGAGCACTAAGCAAGGTTTCTGTCTAACCTGTCAGGGCAACGGCACACGTCAGTCAGAAGCAGGGCTGGATGATGTCACTCCAGCACCTCGGTCAGCATAGGGATGGAGGGATCTTTGGAATCTTACTTTTAGTCAATCATTTTGTGTCCACGCTGCAGCCCCACCCCCCCTTCCCCTACCACCACTTTTTGATAATCAGGCAGTTACAGCGGAAGAAGCTGAAATGACTCCTCCTCTAGGTCTCAAGTGAGTTTTTTTTCCATTATGTTTGCTTCAGAAAGAAGAGAGAAGCAGGCTCTGCAGCAGCGATTTGTTGTTTAATGCAGGCAGCAGAGGGATAGGGGGACAGCAGCAGAGGAAAAGGTTCTTTCACAATCTATTCATGTTCTATTTACTCCAACTCCAGGCTGCTGTTAAAGATCAGAGGGATAGGGCACAGGCTTCCAACATTCCTTTCTATCAGTAAAAGTAATGAATCTTCCTCTCCGCCCCTCTAGGCCCCTTTCATACTAGTGGTCCAATCATGTCCGCTTGTCAGTTTTTTAGGCGGACCCAATCGAACCCTTCTTTATCTTCTATAGATGTAAACATGTGCCCATTTACACACATCTACATCCAATACGGATGGATCAGTTCCCCTCCATCTGGGTGGATTGGATCAGATGGCAGTAGGGTTTAAGCGGACAGCTGGCCATTTACATTGGACCACCCATAGAGCAGAATAGGCTGTGTCCCTGTCCACTCTCCAGAAACTGAGTGGACATGAACCAGTCACCTGCCTGGTCCACCCTGCTCGGCAGGGGATCAGCAAACTGATTTCCCGTTGACCTGGCGGAGTCTGCCCGTGTGAAAGGGGCCTAAAAGTGATTGTAAAGTTAATTTTTTTTTTCTGTAAAATAGGAAACATATTATACTTACCTGCTTTATGTAATGGTTTTGCACATAGCAACCCCGATTCTCCTCTTCTCTACAACCAATTTATTTGTCCTGGGACTTTAAATGAGACACAACACACACGACCAACGAATAACTAGTTTCCAATATTAATTTTTAATAAATGAGTAAACTTCTCATTGCTTAAAAAAAGAGGATAAAATGGTAACAAGCTGATTTGTAATAAATGCATTTCAAACACAATTGGATATACAGTTGACCATATACAATCCAGATGTCAATACATAATTACATTAAAATTGCATCCAAAAACGCGATGCGTTTTGTGACTCTTATTTCTTCAGGAATAGATGCATGTATAATATAAATCAGTTAAAAATGCATATGACAGTATTTCCAAATGGTGATCGCCAGGGGAGTCTCACACGGCAGCTGTGGAAGTACGACTCTGCAAGAACCCAAGGGGACAAGCGAGAAGTAGATTCAACGTGGATGGGCAATCATGATAGCACCCAAAATAAGTACATGAATCAAGCTGTACGTCAAAGTATTGCTTCTCAGTATCCTCATGGAGCTAACATCTGGATTGTATATGGTTAACTGCATATCCAATTGTGTATGAAATGCATTATTATGGATTTATTACAAATCAGATTGGTACCATTTTATCCTCTTTGTGTAAGCAATGAGAAGTTTACTCATTTATTAAAAATGAATGTTGGAAATTAGTTATTCATTGATCGTGTGTGTTTGTGCCTCATTTAAAATCTCAGAACAAATAAATTGGTTGTATGGATATATTAAGGGATGGAGGCACATCACTTGGTGCATCAGGTCATATTCTATTTTTGTGATCCTCCTCTAATCGGTTTCCCCACCAGCTCTCCTGGCTTCTCCCCCCTGCCAAATGCTCCTATAACAAGTCGCTTGCTACGGGATCACTCAGGAAGGCTCAATCCCAAGCCATACTCTGTGTGTCCATTGACACAGAGTGCAGCTCAGCCCTGTCCCCTGCTCTCTCCTCACAGGCTAGGATCAACAGCAGTGGGATCCAATGGCTCCTGTTGCTGTGTCTGAGCCAATGAGGGGAGAAATAGGAGAGTGGCTCTCATGCACATCGCTGGATCACGATGGGGCTTGGGAAAGTATTAGGGGGCTGGGGGAGACTGCTGCACACTGAACGTTTTTACCCTCATGCACAGAATGTATGAAGGTAAAAAACACTTTCAGCCTTTCAAACCGCTTTAACCCCTTGAACCCTGCTCTAGTGCACCACAGCTGTGTGGATTTGCAACAGCAAAGCAGACCCATTCACTGGAATGGGTTGTGCTCGGTGGGCAGTAGCACCTGCCAAAACAACAGGGGGTAGAATTTCTACCATGACACAGAGCATCATGGCCAAAGCATGTGTACATCCACAGTCACTGCCTATGCAGCTAAAAGAGTTGGCAGTTGGGGGCTGTAAAAATACAGCTCAACTGCTGGAACTCTTATTGCTGGCCCAGTGGAGCTCATTCTACTTACACAATCTCCTATTTAGTCTATACAAAGAGGGAAAAGTGGCACACTAGGAGCTATAAACTGGGAAGAAACTCTTGTTTTGGCCACACCCATTTTGGGAAACACCCACCTTTTGGCCACATCCACAGATGCAAATCGGCACGCATAGCACACCATATCATCTCCCCCACTTATGTTTCTAGCACCTGCACATCACCCCCAAAAATTTTAGGCTGGAGCTGCCCCTGGTCTGTGGATAGCTATTTTAATATTGAGACATTTTCCTTTTTTTATGCCACAATTGGCTCAGACTGTGTCACAGCCTGACTGCAAGGATCACAAAAGATGCCCCCTCCTTCTGATGGTCTCTCTTAAGATAGATGCTGCACCTTTCATGGCACAGAACCTCTGGGGCAAAATCACCTCCTTTGCCTGGCAGAGTCATGATTCCCCTTTTAAAACAGAAAGAAAATGTGTCAGCCCTTATCCAATGAATACAGGAGATGGTCAAATTGGAGGATTCATGACCTGACATAAGCACTCTGCCTAGGTGTTTCCACGTCATCCACTGTTCATTTATTTAATTTTTAAGATTAGAAGCAACAGGATTGGGTATTTATCCCTCAATGGGATAAATTAGATAAGATAAGAATCTTCCCAAAAAAAAAGTTATCTAAGGCTGGCCATACATTATACAATTTTCTTGAGATTTTTTTTTTAGATTTACCAAAAATTATATATGAGGTCAAACCTAATGACACTTTCAATTGTATCCAATTAGGCAGGCTCTTGCACCACATAGTTGAAGGTAAATCTAAAGGAAATTGGGCAGAAATTGGACAGAAAACTGTGTAGTGTATGGTTAGACTAACTCCCTGTGGTGGATCCAACCATCTCGTACCTTACAAGGTGACTACCATCCTTTTAGAGGATGCAGTGTCCTTCAGAGACCCAACTACATAAAAAACTTAAACTCTCTCTAGGATGAATGTATTCTACTTTAACCTGTTTTGGCCCAGGCTTCCAAATGATCCAAGTCTTTATGATTTCAAAAGATGCACCAAATTTAGAGTATGGCCAAAGTACTAAAATGTTTGTGTTAGGTTACCTTGGACTCCAGTGGTTTAGTGTCTCAAAACTCTTGGTAGAGTGTTCTAGTTAAAGCATTGGGATGCTGACCGGGCCTTTAAGAAGCTACCTCTATTACTCTGTTTTATAGGAAATAGACTCTTTGGCGCTACTCTTGATGAAATTATCAGAAACACTTCTGGAGGCATAAGTTCTCATCTTTTCCAGACCTGCAAGGCCAAACACCCATAGTGCGACAACATTCCCTGCTTTGAGACTCATGGGTCCTCTTTGAGCTCCTCCTGGCAGCCCATGTCTAGTTCCTCAGCTGGGTCCCAGAGTCTTTGACAATCTAAGACCTCCAAAGCTATGAATAGGTCCTCTTTCACATCAAGGTTTGTACCCACCTGTTATACCCTGATACTGGTCTTCCCTGCAAGTTTTAAAAAGAGTTTTTGACCTTATTGTGTCATCTTTTTCTTGATTTCATACCAGAACCCTGCAGAGGGCAATTATGTCTGTGTGGGACAAATCATTGCTTTCCCTGGACAGGGAAATCAGTCTCTGGCATCAGACAAGGGCCTTCCTGCTGTGCTGGTTCACTTCCCCCACTCTGTCAACATGTCTTTTCTTTCACACAAATGAAAGATTCTCATAGTGGACATTAGCCTTTCTGTTTAGGGCAGAGTACTGCGCACTCTGTTGGCACAGGGATGTTGATTTTTAGAGGAACCCAAGCTCCTGAGCAATCTCCCAGTTCATCAGTAATTTAGCCATCCCCCTTTTGCTGGACACCTGACAGGTCATTAATTTTGGGTTCAGTCAGAAGCCATCATGGTGGCTTACATCTGTCGCCAAGGAGTGGAAAACTGTAAATGGGAGTTTCTCAGCAGAGTTGGCATTTGGGAACCCTCTTTTTGATCCTAGTGTGGCTTTTTTGGAAAAAAAAAAGGTAGGGATTTCAGTTGCTATCTTAATTCTGGGCTGACTCAGAAAGATGATTTATGAAACTGTATCTATACATGGCTAGGAATCTGGTCACATGAATGAGTGCAAAGATTAGTGATAAATTACTCAATCTCTAACTGGTCTAAAGTTGTGAGTGGTACAATCCAGGGTTCAACACTTGGGGCCAAGGCTGTTCAAGTTTGAGTATTAATGATGTAAAAGTTGGACTCAAAAGCTCATTTTTTGTGCTGCTTTTAGCGCTGATGAAACTAAATTATGCAGGGTATAAATACAACACTGGATGTAGCATCAGTACGGAAAGGCCTTAATAGGGGGTTGGGCAGCTACATGGCAGGAATTCTTAGGAATTGTTAGGCTGTAATTCTACTGTAAATTATTAAAGATGAAAGCCTTCATTAGGTTCCTCCCTCAGCATTATGCAGTTTTGAAATTCTTTCTGAAAGCAACATACTGTATTTATACAAATATTTAAATATTGAAACTTTCAAAGTGAATCTAGTTAACTACAAACATTAATACAACATTTTCTCTTAAAGAGTCCTGCCATCAAACTAATAATTTCAACAATAATTTTCCCTTAAGATTTTACACCATGCAACATTATTATGCATGTTATTTACTTGTACAACGTATACACCGACGGGTGCCAGTACTTTAACAACTAGCTGGAAGGTCATACATTCCTTAAATTTCATATCCCTGGACCACTACTTATTTAATGCATGTATTTAAAGTAGAACTATGGGCAAAGCTTTTTTTTTTTTTTTAATTTTGGATAGAGTAAGGGAGGGTTATAACCCCTGTAAGTTTATTTTGTAGCATCTGTGTCCCATTGGGGAGATTTAATTTCACTTCCTGTCTCATAGCCAAAACAGGAAGTGAGGGTATATCCCTGCAAAAGGAAATTCCTTGAGGACCCCATATCACCAGAACTAGTGCCCCCATTGGAAGATTTCCCCACTATTACTTTTCTCGGGTTTTCTTTTACTTTCACTTTCGATGATAATAGTAAACAGGACAAATAGAGAGGGTGAGTCTCCCTAATGAAGGCACAGGTAGCAAAACTGGAGAGTGCAAACTCTGGTGCCACTGTGTATGGTAGCCAATCAGCTTCTAACTTCAGCTTCTGCAATTAAGCTATGACAAAAAAAAAAAACAACCTGGAAGCTGATTGGTTTCTATGCAGAGTTGCACCAGGTTTCAGTTTTAGTAAATCAACCCCATAGTGTCTAGATTCCCATCTTTGTGTAAGCTAGTCAGTTGGGAGTCCTTTACAATGTAATTGTACATCTGATCAAATATTTGAGAGAAAACAGGCTTTATTGTCATGTGTTGGAGCTTTAAAATCAAAGTTGCAAAGAATTGTCTCTATTCTGACCACAGTCCAGAGATTTGCTTTTTATTATGACTTTACATTCTCATCCAAATTTCCCAATATTCTTTCTTTGATTCAAAAGTTCCCTTTAATTTCTGCAATACACTGCACAGCATTGCACACATTGGTGTCCGTTTATGGACCAGCGGTAATAGATCGCTGCTCAGTTCTCCGGCATTCTCGCAGAACACAGTTCTCCTGTGAATGCAGTTTATGAAGCAGTTCTCCGAACGAAGGGAGAACGGTCTCCAAACGCCAGAGAACGGTCTACAAACTCTGAAAAACGGCTCATTTTACTATAATCTCTCGAGATTATAGTAAAAGATCAGTTTACTAAGCAGAGGTAAACTATCTCTGCTTAGTTTTCGGTCCCTCTGATTCTCCAGCTCTGGGCTGGAGAATCTGGAGGGAGAACACAGATCTCCCACGAAGGGCTGACATGATCTCCTGAGTGTTATAAACTGTGAATGACCAGAGAATAGCTGAGATCCGTTGAATCGCAGCTATTCTCTGTGTCATAAAAGGACACCTTAATCAGGTATACACAGTTCCACAACAAAATACCTTGTGTTCTTTAATGCTGCTGTGACCCCAGCACTGATATCCTATTAGTGTGGCGATATGTGCACAGGTTTCATGTCATTTTTACATGCAGAAAGATGTTCCATTTAGCATTTGGATGTACAGGACAAATGTGAGTTATTTCATTAACTGTTTAAGAAATTCCAGGTGGGGGTAATGAGTGGCGTCTTATTCTCCTCTTCAGCCTGTCAATACTGTTAATGTTTCAAGTTTGAAATAATAGCAAAACATACCTTAGCTGCTATAACTAATTCATGTCTTGCATTTTTAGGTGCTTTGCTACATGGCTTGTGCAATCTTGTGGAAGTTGAAAAATTAGTCTTGCACAATATAAACCTAAATGAAAAAAATGCTGAAATTTTAGGTGAGTATGACATAGCTCATAAAATAGAAATTTGTTAAATCTATAAACAGTAAAGGAACATCAACCAAAATTTTGTAATATGCTCTTCCTTATATTAGTAATTTTCTCAAGTTTTCTTGCCAGTACCCTATCAGTGTACTTCTTCAGATATATTGTTAAAAGAATTTCCCAAATTTTTTATGGTGTAGTTCCCACGAAACCTACCTGTATAATAATGCATTTTTAATAATAATTCATTAATATAACATAATACAGGTCTGGTATAAATATTTGATTTATACTTATGTTACATTAAAGTGGAAGTTAACTGTCTCTGAGCACCACAAATATAAAAATGATATATAATACATTTTTAATATTCAAAGCGAACTCACCCATCCACCCATGTTTACATGTGTTATTTTGTTGTGAAATCACTTTGAAAAAATACCTCCCTAGCATCTCTACCTGTTGCCATCTTGAGTATGGGCAGATAATTCATGTAGCATTTACTTCCTTGAATCCTTCTACCCTTAGATCAGGCATGCAGGCAGGATTGTGTGCTTACCTGAGAAAGCCACTCATCCTCTCCTCCAGATGCAATTACAAAAATGTCTGTGAAGGTTTATGGTATGTATGACATAATTTTTGCCTTGGTCAGAAACCAAGAAGCAACTGAAGAAATGTAAAAAAAAAATTAAAACAAGTAAATATACCTTCCTATTTATTTATTAATGCCAGCAGCATAAGGATTAAAAATAGTTAATGTTCATTGAGGGAGTTTAGTTCCACTATAACCATAGTCCAATTATGATGATAACTTAGGCTACGTTCACACTAGCTTTGTCAGCAGTCCTCAGACAGGTGTTTGGGAAGCATTTTTAACGCTTCTCAAATGCCTCTGAAAATTATGCACATTGCAGCGCACAGTGCTGTTCACACAGAAGCGTTAGCGTTGCGTCACGGCAAAACTGATGCTTCTGGTCGAGTCAGGAGGAGTTGAATTCTCCCATTCAAGTCTATGGTGCCACTCCACAAACGCCTAGCTGGCGTTTGCGGTGTGGTTGTGACACGGTTGCGAGGCGTTTGTGGAACGTTAATACAATTTAAACTTCATTATAGGAGTTTGTGGTGTGGTTTTAATGCTTGGCAAACACCTATCAACCACCTCAAAACCGTGCATAGGGCGTTTTGGGAGCGCGAATGAGCCCTTATACTGCATTGTTACATACATTTTTTAAAACTTTTTTTTAACTAAATTGCAAATATTGGTTTACGTTTACCAAGACTCCAAGTTTCATTTTGTCTGCTTTCCTTAAGCCCAAAACGATTTGTTTCCTAATGCAGTGGATTTCAGTCTGGCAATTCTGGGTCCCCAAGGGAGCATTGCAATGAAACTGAACCACTATATTAAATGTTTTCATGAAATAAATATATTTGTGTTTATTGTAATTTATTAAATAGAATGTTATATACATAATATTAATATACCTTTTTATAATCTACCTTTAGCAACTGGCATACAGTGTTTACGTGAACTAAGAATTCTTCAGCTTTCAGATGTTCCCAATATTTGCAATGGACTTGAGCACATAATAGAATCATTTTCACACAACTGCAACCAAATAAAAGAGCTTCATTTAAATAACTGCTGTTTGACTGTAAAGGCTGTGAGATCCCTCAGTAAGTACTGAAGCTGTTTCATAATATTTCTATCATTGGTGGACCATATGCTATAGTGACAAATCATGGCACTTACTGTATTAGCAGATGCAAAAACCTCCATCTAATTATATGTATAAACTGTATACTGACATTCATCAAACATTCACAGGGGATAAATCGTTCACTGCATATTAAAACATACCCACTAGGAATATTTACCTGCAGTGAATGTTAGGTGAATTTCAAATTAACTGCTGCATAAATTTACCCAATTCAAATGGGCATAAGTCAGTATCATAGAGTACTCTGATGACAGGTGTTAACTGCCACTCCACTTTTGCCACTTTTGCCACTGCAAAATCCACACCAGACTCCGAGCATGCAGCTTGTTAGGCCAGCAAAAGGGAGGGGGCAAGCGAGTAGCCCCCCTCCCGAACCATACGAGGCCACATGCCCTAAACATGCGGGGGGGGGGCTTTGAGGCAGGGGCATAGTACCCCTAGCCATTCACAAAAAAAGAGTAGGGTAAATAAAGACAGGAGCCAGTTTCTGAAAAGTCCTTTATTAAAAAAAAAAAATTGTCCCCTGGTGTAGATCCATTGTCAATCACAATGAATGCCGCTCCATTGACCCACATTAAAAAAGAAAAAAGAAAAGAGGTCAGCATCCGACGCTGGCTTCATCTGATTGACAACTCGTCTTTACAGCTGTAACATCCTGGGTGACCTGTTTCTTTGTGACATTATTGACAGGGCATGCCAGGGTGATGACAGCACAAGGGGGCAGTCACTCAGTGGCATCCCCAGGTGGACCCGCCCCCTTCATTTATTTAGAGCTAGAAAAAGGGACTCAAGACATAGTCTCAGTCCCTTTCTCTGCAGCCACAGTTACACTGCATATGAATGAATAGAAGTCTCTGCATAGAGAAGCATATTACTGTTTACTATGCTCCAGTGACATATAAATACAGAAGTGATCTGTACTTATTACTGTATGTATTGATTCAGAAAAGGAAGAGGGCTGATAATTGTTTACCATGTTTACCAGCCCCCCCTCTCCATCCTGACAGCGATCTGCCCTAGCAATAGCTGCAGCTGGCAGGAAGGGCAGAAGGGAAATAGCAGCATTGCTAGGAGGGGTGCTGGGGGATCGGTGAGGAAGGGCACTATAGAGGGGACTGGAACAGTACGGAATACAGTGCAAGATGATTTGTCTGCTACAGAAAAAAGCAAGCAGAAGGACACAGGAGGGAAGGCTACTGCAGGTAAACCACAGCCATTGGTGCTGGGAGGGATCAGTGCAGGAGGGATCAGTGGTGGGGGGATGACTGCACTGTGGGGGAAGTGAGGAGAACGGTTAGTGAAGAGGCGGTGGCTGGGGGTGGCACACTTTAGGTGAATAGCTCTGATCAGCGGTTGTCATCCACTGTTATTAGTTATTATTTTGTTCAGCAGAATCTGCTGAACGTTTCTGCTCATGGTAACAGAAGAAGGATTCAGATCTGTACAGCGTATGGACCTGACCAGCTGAAAGCAGTGCTGTACTGTAGGTCCGTACACTGTATGGATCTGACTGTGAAAGGGTGAAACCTGTAGGTAAATAAGAGAACCAGAACATTGCTAAGTGGAAAGTTTGATAATCAAGTTGGCAGTGCTTCCACCCAGGACAGAACCTCTGGGAGCAGAAGAACTACTGCAACCAATGTATAACATTACCATAAATATATATGGATGAGAGCCAGTAAAAAAATGATAAAAACAAAACAAACTTAATAATAGCACATACTGTACATACAATGTACTAACAGATATTAACAGCAAAGGGCCCAACATGATTCCTGGTAGAATTGTGTGTGTGTGTGGGGGGGGGGGGGGCTATGGTAGGTGATAAGAAGAATCCCATGTTACAAGCAAGCACTGGAAATTTTACTATTTGTACTTGCAAAATACATGTGCAAAATGTGATAATGAATTAAAGTGTTTGTTCACAAATGCCAGAAATCTGTCAAGCAAAACATACCAATATCAATTAAATCATAGTTCTTGATGCTTTGGTGCATGAAGAACTATGATTTAATTGGTATTGTTGAATCATGGCATCATTCTTCACATGTTTGGGCTATTCATATTCCTGGATATGCTCTATTTAGGAGTTACAGGGCAAAACAGAAAGGTGGTGGTGTCTGTCTCTATGCCAAAGTGAATGTGAAAGAGGATCTGGTTGAGATGTGATGAGGCTAAAGCATTATGAATGGAACTGCATATGGGTGTGCGTACTTCAAAGTTAATCATTGGAGTTTTTTATGGACCACCCAATGTTAATAAAGATGTGGATTCTCAGCTCTTTCCACTGATAGAAAAGGTTGCAAGGGCTGGGATAGTGATAATAATGGGGGATTTTAACTACCCTGATGTTGACTAGAGTAATAGCACTTCTGCAACAGTTAAAGAGCAATGTCAGGGATACCACAGGCATCCAGCAAGGATGACCAGATCAGTGGGCTGTACCTTAAATCAGGAAGCAAGCTGAGTAAGGTTAAATGAAGTTTATTAACATGAATATCACTCTTACAATACCAACACCAATAAACCATAACAATGTAAAGTGACAAAATAAACATGAAAGTGCAGAAAACCAACTAACTACACTGCTCAAAAAAATTAAAGGAACAATTAATCAGAGTATAGCATCAAGTCGATTGAACTCCTGGGATATTGATCTGCTCAGTTAAGTAGCAGAGGGGGCTGTTAATCAGTTTCAGCTGCTTTGGTGTTAATGAAATCAACAACAGGTGCACTAGATGGGCAACAATGAGACAACCCCCAAAACAGGAATGGTTTTAAGTGGAGGCCACTGACATTTTTTTTCCTATTCATCTTTTCTGTTTTTCACTAGTTTTACATTTGGCTAGGGCCAGTGTCACTACTGGTAGCATGAGGCACTGGTAGCATGAGGCACTACCTGGACCCTACAGAGGTTGCACAGGCAGTCCAACTCCTCCAGCATGGCACATCAGTACATGCCAGAAGGTTTGTTGTGTCTCCCACCACAGTCTTAAGAGCATGAAGGAGTTTCCAGGAGACAAGCAGTTACTCTAGGAGAGTTTGACATAGCCGTAGAAGGTTCTTAACCCATCAGCGGGACTGGTATCTGCTCCTTTGGAGCAACAAGATGAGCACGGCCAGAGCCCTACAAATTGACCTTCAGCAGGCCATGGTGTAAATGTCCCTGACCAAACAATCAGAAACAGACTTCATGAGGGTGGCTTGAGAGCCCAATGTCCTCTAGCAAGCCCTGTACTCACTGCATGGCAACAAAGAGCTCAATTGGCATTTGCCATTGAACACCAGAATTGACAGGTTCACCACTGGTGCCCTGTGCTTTTCACAGATGAGAGCAGGTTCACCCTAAACACATGTGACAGACGTGAAAGGGTCTGGAGAAGCTGTTGAGAATGTTATGCTGCTTGTAACATCGTTCAGCATCACCGTTTTGGTGTGGGTCAGTGATGGTCTGGGGAGGCATATCCATGGAGGGATGCACAGACCTCTACAGGCTAGACCAGTGTTTCTCAACCTTTTTCAGTCAAGGCACCCTTTAAAATTATAAACAGTCCCGAGGCACCCTTTAAAAGTATGGACAGTCTTGAGGCACCCCATTCTAAAATGTGAAAAAACTATTCTAATAGTTTTAGATAATGCAGCAATATCCACACATGTAGGACACCTAACATTAGAGGGGATTTATTCTTCCAAAGCAAATACACTTTTGCACACTGGTACTGACTAGTATTCCAGTGTTTCTCTTCTCCCTCAGTTTTTCTCCATCACTGAGCTAATGTGACCCCAGCACTGATGGAGAGGGGCATGAGCAGGTCAAACTAGGATGCTGTGCAGGTTGCTGACATCCTCCTTCAACTGATGATGCCATTGGTTGTCAGGACGCCGACAGCTAGAAGGTCGTAATGGTACACAATGAAAACCTGTGACTTTGTGTAACTAAAAGGCAGGCTTGTTCCACCCGCTGGCTTGTGTACAAGTTTTGGGCAATTTTTAGACATTTTCCCAAGGCATTTTCCTGAAGAAACTTCAAGGCACCTCAGGGTGCCTGGGCACCCTGGTTGAGAAAGGCTGGGCTAGACAGTGGTACCCTAACTGCAATTAGGTATCGAGATGAAATCCTTGGACCCATTGTCAGACCCTATTCTGGTGCAGTGGGTCCTATGTTCCTCCTGGTGCACGACAATGCCCAGCCTCATGTGGCGAGAGTATGCAGGCAGTTTCTGGAGGATGGAGGAATTGATACCATTGAATGGGCCCCACACTTGCCTGACCTGAATATATTAGAACACCTCTGGGGTATCATGTTTTGGTCCATCCGACACTGCCAGGTTGCACCTCAGACTGCCCAGGAGCTCAGTGATGCCCTGGTCCAGATCTGGAAGGAAATACCCCAGGACACCATCCATCGTCTCATTAGGAGCATGCCCCAACATTGTCAGGCATGCATACAAGCACGTGGGGGCCATACAAACTACTGAGTACCATTTTAAGTTGCTGCAATGAAATTTCAGCAAAATGGACTAGCCTGCTGCATCATTTTTCCACTTTGGTTTTTGGGGTATCTTTAAATTCAGTCCTCTGTAGGTTGATAATTTTCCTTTCCATCAAACGATGGGGCATCCTTACGTTCCCAACACATTACCCAGTCCATATCAGTATAGATATCCAGCATGATATTTTTCCCTATTCAGATCTGATGTGTTTTCAAAGTGTTCTTTTTTTTGAGCAGTGTATATACAAAAGGAGGAAGCACACACAAGCAGGGCGAGGTCAGGGCTAAGACAGGAAATGAGGAGCAGGTAGCAAGGTACTGGGGGAAAAAGATGCAGGCTGGAACTCACAGAGGAAAGAGACTGCTGCAGAGAAAAAACTGAAGAGCAGAATGAGACAGGAAGGTGAAGGAAGATGGTTGCATGTAGGAGTGCATGGAGTGACAAAAGCAGGATACAGACAGAT